AACTCTCTTCAGTTGTAACGTTTCGGCTATGTTTCACTAAATAAGTTTTCAAGTGCTACATTTCTGTAATGAAACAGAAACGTTTCTAGTTAATGTTTCAAATGTTTAGTAAAACATCTCATTTGCAACGTTTCATTTACGTTTCGTGTTTAGTGGGTTACTATGAATTACTTTAATTGCCAAAATTTCATTGTTGTCATGGTAACAACTTAGAAGTTGTAATAATTGGAATTTGTTCTTCAAACTTATTTGAAGGCAAATAACTCCACAACGAAGCCCGGTAGGAACAACTCTTTTATGAAGTACTACAACTACGAGTATACTCTGTATACCTGTATACTCCTTCATTTTTTACATGACCTTTCCGGACACCCTGTATATATGTATACACATGAAAAATAGATGTTAATTGGTTTTAAGTATACTCGTATATAAACATCCGTTTTGGTTCAGTTAGCATTGATTTTTTTTTGTAATAAAAATTCCTTCTTATAAAGGTACGATGTACGGCTTCAGCACATACGTTTATTTATTGATTAAATTATGTTTTAAAATAAATAGATTTACTATCAAACTATCAAAATTACATTTATCAAGATTAAGATAAGGCTATTCAATTGATGGTACAAATTTTAAAATTGCATTAATACTTAAAAGAAGGAGAGAGACAAGGAGATGTTATTTTTTATAATTCCTAGTGGGGGGTCAAACATAAGCGTTTGATAAGATGGTTACGTTAGTTCAAATCTCTGTTCAAATGTAGAAATTTAAGTTGCCGGTAGAACCTAAATTACTATTTTGGATTCTTCTAACTGTAAGTGCTGAGTTTAATTTAATATAACATTTATTTTAGATAAAGAAGTGTAAATTCATTTAATGACAATTGAAAAATAAAATTGTGTCTTATTTTAAAGATAAATTAGTTAGAATTGTTGTGCAATAGGTCAGTCACTAATACGCAAATAATGTTAGACTTGATAATTACTACAATTAGAACCATTATAACTTTTTACTACCTCCCGTAAATACAGGGGGTGAGGACGACAAAAAATAAGAATTTTTTGTCATATGAACTATATGTCTATCTCCTATTCTCAAAGCTCAAGCTTACTTTGAGAAAAGTCACTTACTTTATAGTGTAATATTGTAAGAGTTTAATTAAAAGCCTTTTTTCTCGAAAATCGTCCACATTAGGAAGTTCTAACAAGGGTACATTATTTTTAGAAAATAAAATTGTACAATAGGAATTAGAGCCCGACTGGTGAAAAACCTAACCTTAAAAAAATATAACTTAAATTGTAATAAGAATATAGCATAACTGGCGCTTTCTATGAAATATACAAAAAATAATTAGACTAGCGTATTTCGCACCCTTAAAAACCTCGGACTACCAAATTTCATAAAAATATTTCGCACTATTTGGAAATTTTCATAAAAATGTTATTTAAAAAATTTTATTTTGTCTCTCTGTATCTCGAAAACAAGAGGAGATAGACATAGAGTTCATAAGACAAAAAATTCTCATTTTTTGTCGTACTATCACCCCCTTTATTTACGGGAGTTCTTTCTGAAACACCCTGTATTTTTCGTTTTATTCTTGTAATTGTAAATCTCTATATGCTCAATTTAGCCAAATAAATATCGAGAAAAGAATTAAACGATTTAAAAAAAGTATGTGTGGTGTAAAAAAATTATGCACAAAAGTTTTGGGATTTTCTTTTAGAAAAATAGGAACATTTTTGTAAAGAAAAATAACAAACGCGAATGAAAACTTAAAAGAGAAAAAAGGATTTTTATATCGAGTATAATATTAATTTATTTAGAAATAATGCATTATGCACTAGATAGTATTAATCGCCTCAAAAATAACTTTATTATAACTTTTAAATTTTTAAGCATAAAATAAGCAATATTATAATGATTTATTTGAAACAAATAATAATTTACATAATAATATTTAATAACCATTTATAAATATGAAATTATTTTGGAGTGAAAAAAATAAATTTCTACGATTATTGATTTATTGATTTTTTAATAATTTGCGGACATTAAATCGTCGGACATTTATATCACTATTTTGTACAGTAAATTTAAAAGTGGAAAAAATGAAAATTAGATATGTGGTAATCGATTTTTCATACCCCGTGAAAATTCCGATTTCCAGCTGTCGGACTGAAATTACGCGGCTTGAAATTTGTCGGACAATAATACTTTTTGACTGAATTAATTATTTACAATTAATTTTACTAAAAATTACCCATGTGGTAATTGATTTTTAATACCCTGTTATTTTGGCATGTTTCGACCGGTAGACACGTCAATGTCGGAAGAATTTCTGTCGGACAAATTTAAATCGGCATTTGCAACAAAATTTCCAGTTACTTCAGCTAAAAATAAAAGATGTGGTCTTGACTTTTCAAGACCCCGGGAAATTGCCATGTTTTTGGACTTTTCCGAACGGAAAAGCGGAGGAATCGAGAAAAGTCGCAGAGGAAAAATGTGGTAGACTCGTCAAAACGAAGCGCCTCAGGAGTTATAAAGTATGCGGTAATCAACTTTCCAGAGGGGGCCTGTACTGTGAACTAAATAACACTGCACAAAACGAAAACAACTCGCAAGCTAATTCTAATTCACCCGATATATGCAATCAGAATCAAGTCATATCATCTATCAATGCACATTCTAGCACAAAACATGAACCACAGATTTTACTATCAACAGCATTAATTTACATTAAAGATAATCATGGCAATTTTATACAGTGCAGAGCATTGTTAGATAATGGATCTCAATCCAATTTAATCACAACTAGTTTATTCACAAAATTAGGATTAAATAAGTGCAAAATAAATGTACCTGTTACAGGCATTGGACAATCATTAACTAATATATTTGGCAAAACAAAGACAATAATAAAATCTATGCACAATGCTTATCAAAAAGAAATCTCGTTACTAATTATTAATCAAATCAGGGATAACATTCCATTTATATCTTTTGACGATACAAACCTAATCATTCCAAAAATATCACATTAGCAGATCATTTAATACATGGAGACTATACAAGGAGCCCGAACTCCATGTAAAAAAAATCTTACAAAAATAAGAGGGCGCTAGTGTTCCATATGTCCCATATGTAGAGAGGGGAGATAAAAAGCGGCAGTTTGAATTATAAATTAATCATGTCATTTTTGTAATGTGTTAAAAATTTCAAAATAAATAATGTAAGCTACTTTGAATTATATAAATCATGAAAATATGTCATTCCGGACTGTAATTAAACTAAATAGATAATAAAAAATATTAGCTTTATGAGAAGAATTTGGTGTTCGTAGAAAGAAACTAGTTTTCAAGGAATTTATATATGACGTGATGTTGTTAATATTAACCTATAAGTAAGGTTTATGTTTTTGATAATTACTTTGTTAAAGATTTTAGTTTAATGTTAGTAAAAGTCACATTTTATACAGGAAGTTGCCTTTAAAAAAATAGTAATTCTTGTATTATTAATATGGAATTTTTACTTGTGGTAATAAAAAATAGGTGTTTTAAATAAACTTTTTAAAATAGGTATTACAGATGTCCGATTTTGAGTCCAGTGATTCAGATGACTTATTAGACGCATTGTCCAGCTTGAGAGTGATGATGAAATAGATTTATTCTAAGAAACAGAAAGAGTAAAAAATAAGAACTACTTTGAAATTACTGTACCTGAATGTAGAGGCCAAGTTTTTTTAACATTTCCGTGTTAGCATATGGGAAGTAGCTAACAGAATTGAAGAAAAATTTGCCATTTCTAATTATTTCACCCATGATTCTGGTAAATTTTGCATTGCCTTAAGCTCTACAACAACCAGAAAAGTTACATACTTGCTAAGTAACTTGTCTCCATAAATTATAGAATGGCCGAGATAATGAGGCAGTTGTAATCGAACAATATTTTGCCCAATATGAATTTCCAGAGCAGGTTATAGGAATAATTGATGGGAAAGGAATTCATATAAGATAGAGTATATCACAATCCATATTTTTTTTGAATAACCAATAATATACTATATTATAGTGTAACTGAAAACTGACTATGGAAAGTCGATAAATTATGGTTGGACAATTTCTAAGCTGATTGCCATGTTGTCGGTTTAGACTTCTCAATGCTTCATATCGCTCTCTTCTCAAAATGTCAAGAAGCTTAAAACAACATGACGACCAATTGATACCAAAATTTTAACAAAATATAGGTACTCCATTATAAAGGTCACAAAAAATAGGTAATCTAAATATTTTATAACTGTTTAAAATCGATTAGTTTTCTGGGTATATATTTTAAAATTGCTGTAAAATTTAATTCTACTTTCGTAAAAATTGTTGATTTAATTCGAACGTAACATGGTTCCATGACTTATTCCAAGGTAGAGTATAGACCAAAATTAATAAGGTATTATAAAGAAATATTTTACCAATGTTCTATATTTTTATTATATATTTTGTAAAAATAAAATGTTTATCTACCAAAGATTTCAATGTTTTATTAATTGAATCAAAAAAACGAAATTATTTGTGCCTAATTAAAATAAAATAAATATTTATTCATAACAAACAAGTAACAAAGTAAATATATATTACAAATAAAACAACTTAAAAATAAGTAATACGTGTCAGTCTATCTTCTTAAAATTTCATTTTGTTCATGAAGCAATTGATTTCCATGTTTAAATATTTAGTAAAAGTAGTCAATTACCAATACAGATCGATCAGCATCAATTACTACACGTATCCTCTCTTTAAATTTTATATGATATCTGAATTTCAATCAGTTTTTTACTAACAGGAAAGAAACAGCAACTAATTGGAAATTATTTATTCAATTCAGTAATGATAATAGCGATGTCACCAGCAAGAATTATATGAAAGATACGAATTTAATTATTTATGCACGTAATATAAATTACAAGAATATTTAGAAATAAATAAAGTATACTTTGTTGCTATTCTCCTCATCACACGTCAACAGAACTATTCTTTTATTAGATTATACAGGACAGGATGCTCACCTTCTAGTATAATCTCATCGTAACTTAATTGCTCTTGATTTACTTGCTGTTCTTGTTGTTGTTGTTGTTGTTGTAACTGTTGCTCTTGTTGTAGCTGCTGCACCTGTTGTTGCTGGTGTAGCGGATGCTCTTGCTGTTGATGCTGCTGCAAAATATATAAAGAAACAATGCATCATTCAATTATACAATATTTTCACTTATGAAATCTTTCTATTTAAAAATTTCTCTACCGTATTAAGAATCAAAGAAGCTGCTTCCAATTTCCGAATTATTCGACCTTTTGCCATAATATTAACCCACTATTCGGTCAAGTTGTAATATAGAACTGCTGGACATCATTAGATTGAAAATGCAGATCACAAACGTACTGTTTTATTTTAAATCTGTTGACAGTCATTCACTTTACATACTATTACCAAATTTAAATTATTTTCGAAACATTTTATTTACCATTTATAAAAACAAATTGTAATAATTATTGACTTGACTTATAGTTTTTAGGTTTAGTATACCTCCCCGCTCCCCAATATAACTACTAAACTCGATATAAATAAAATAAAATTGGTTATTTTCTTACTTCACTCGTATTTATGAAGCTACATTCATTTGGGACATATGGAACACTAGCGCCACCCCAACTTCTGCCATTTCTTGGACAAATTTTGTCAATTTTTCCGTATGAGTTTGAGCTCCTTATCTAGTCTCCATGATTTAATAGTTTATCCCAGATAGATTTACTATAATCGGAGCGAGCATGTTCTGGGAACTCCTCTGCGTAGGACAAATACGCATCGGTGCAGACAAGCTTATATTACAAAAGTCCAAAATTGGATGGTTATTTTCTGGTCCAATACAACTAAATTTAAATAACTCCAAAGTTCAATGTAATTTATCGACAATCGTTTTAGAGAAGCAACTAGAAAAATTCTGGAAAACGAAGAATTTAAAGATCATCGTGAATTATCGCCAGAACAAAACCAGTGCGAGCAAGTATTTATCGAAAAGACAAGACGCGATGAATCAGGACGGTTTATCATTGAATTACCAACTCGCGAATCATTTGTTGATTTCGGTAATACTAGAGACAGCGCGAAAAAAACGTTTTCTAGCATTAGAAAAAAGATTAGGCTATAATGCTGATTTAAAGCAGCAATACACGGAATTTATGCGCGAATATCAAGCGTTGGGTCACATGACTAAGATAACAGATAATGATATGCCTTCCGTTGCAGAAATCGACGAAAATAAACATTCGGTATATTATTTACCATATAGCTTACTCAAAGAAGCGAGCTTGACCACAAAATTAAGAGTGGTTTTCGACGCGTCTGCAAAATCGGAGACGGGTTTATCTCTCAATGGTAATCTATTAACGGGCCCAACAATACAGGGCGATCTCTTTTTTATATTGGTAAGATTCAAAAGCACACATATGTCATAACGGCTGATATTGCGAAGATGTATCGTCAAATATTGGTAACTGAAGAGCAACGCGACATGCAGCGCATTCATTGGCACGAAACACCCGATCAAGAATTGCAAGATTATGCTAAACACGTTAACGTATGGTACTTCTATAGATCATTTATCGCAACTCGCTGCCTACATGAATTGGATTTTCAAAATCAAACAAATTTTCCTAAGGCAAGTCAAGTCATATTAACCGATTTTTACATGGATGATCTTATTACAGGGTCAAACACTCTAAATGAAGTTAAGCTTAAGCAAGAAATCGATCACATCCTTAAAAGTGGCTGTTTTCAACTAAGGAAATGGGTTGTTAACAATACGCACGTTTTAAGTAGTACCGGAAATACTGAAAACAATTTACCCCAGTTTATTATATCTGATGATAAATGCATTAAAACTTTGGGTCTTTTATGGAACGCGCGAAATGATACTATTCAAATTACAGCAAGCGAAAAACAAGATAATCGTGTAGTAACAAAAAGAACAATTTTGGGTAGTTTAGCACAAATTCTTGATCCTCTAGGATTAATAGGCCCTATAACAATACGCGGAAAAATAATCATACAAAAATTGTGGCAATTACAAGTAAATTGGGACGAGTCAATTCCCATAGTGGTGCGAATTTATCAATCAAGGTTCATTATCAAATAATTTACTAATTCCACGACACATAGCACTACCTAATGCGATAAGTTTTCAAATCCATAGCTTTTGCGATGCTTCAGAAACAGCGTATGGAGTTTGTGAGTATCTTAGAACAATTTTGCGAGAAGGCAGAGTACCTACACGCTTAATATGCGCAAAGTCGCGAGTAGCTCCGCTGAAGAGTATAACATTGCCCAGGCTATAGCTTTGTGGAGCGGTACTCTCAGCACAACTCACAAATAAAGTAGTTAAAGCATTAAATCTTAAAATATCACGTATATATTACTGGTGCGATTCAACTATTGTGCTAGCATGCTCCGTGATTTGGCCGTATTTTAGTTGTTCCCTGTGCTGCACAATCCTTAAATTTAGTTGGAGCTGCAGCAGCAGAATCTTGCTACATAGCATTTGAATATTCTATATTCGTCCAACAAATATTAAACCTTTTTTCTGCTTCTACCAACATGGAATTCCTGACAATCCAATTTGTATTTGTCATTTTATAATATTCATCCAACCACACTTGAACATTTTGTTCCGGTAAAATTCATTCTATACACTATTAAATCCTTCTCATCAAGGTTCTCTATTTTTTCTAACAAAAATTTGCTTGAAATATCCATATTGGTAAAATGAAATATAAACAGAACATAAGATGTAACAAAGACAATAAGGTTTAGAGCTTAAGACACATCAATTCACATATATTTTATTAGCCCGCAACCAGCTTTACAACCATCAAACCAATCACGTGCCTTTATTTAATGTAGGGTGTGTAACGCTTAGGCCCGGTACTTTTGAGTCTCGGTTAAGCTTGATTAACTGATCAGGTGATTTATTTACGTCCGATATAATTCTGTTCCCAAATTTTGATTTGATTATAGAGGAAAAATCAACTTGACGTGTTGTAAATCTTCCCTATGTATTTTCTCCTGACTACAGTTATATTTGGGTGATGCCTGTTTTTCCATTATTTTTAAGATGTTGTTAGTTAGGTTCATATTATTTTCGTTTCTTATTTGAACTTTGCAGTTTTCTGTAGCAGTTCTAAAGTATGCTAATAATTAAAACCATATGTTAAAATTAAGTATGTAATATAAAATATACCTCTGGGGCTTTGTCAATTACAGATAAATATTTTTTAATTATTAAGGCCTCTACAAACACTTCTTAAATATAAGTAAATCTTGGAGTGCAGTCTTTATAAACCTTAGATAACCCGTTTTTGAGATAGAAATATATCTTAGAAATACTAAATCTGTATGGATTGAAATGTATAGACAGAATAATAAAAAAAAAATTATGTCAACGTCACAGAGTCCACGGGTTTTGGTACATAAATACTTGTAATACCCCTCGGCCTCCTCTACATTTTGTGCATTATTTATTTGTAATACTTTAATAACCCATTTAAGTAATTTCCTCATTTGTAGATCTGTATATATTATACTTTTCTAGTCAAACAACTATCGAAACATTCTACATAGTTTTTTGAAAAAATTTTAAATTTTCATAAAGGTGAACAAGTGAAGGTGAAGATGAAGGTGAGGAGTTATAAAACTTACCTGAAATGTTGGTAAACAGGATTATTCCTTGATGCACAATTAGGTATCTAAAAATAAATGTCAACGTATATATAGTCCGGCATAATGTACAGTTGGCGCCACCCAAATGTGAACGGATTTTGGTTGTTATGGAAATTTCATCTGGATTTTATCGTAGTAAATCAAACTTTTCTTAGTGGCGTAACACAGAGAGGGTATTCTGATGGATAAATTCGACCAAGGCATTGTCTTCCGTGTCACTGGAAACCTTCCCGACGCCTTGCCTGCTATATCTTTGTAATCTGTGTTCTTCTTGCCAGCGTTATTTAATATAAAATATACAACTCTTACTGACATTTAAATCAGCATCCAGTTCACTCAAAGACCAATTATCTTCATATTCATTCTTCGATGCCCTAAGAAGTATTTAAAATGCTTATAGGCACGAGGCACGGGAATAAACAAAACAAACCCTGTACCATAAACACTTGTATGAGAGAATCGAATACGAATTTGGTTTAAAAAATATTTTAGTTAAGCATATACCACAACTGAGTTCAGACATAAAGCCATTAAAATGAAGGCTTATATATTTAATTGTATTTTTTATTCATCCTGACCCATCCTATTTTCAATAGACATAAATAATTAAAATATGTTGTTGGACAAATGTACATATAATAGAAATTTTCTACACATTATATACAAATTATTATAATATTTTACTTTTAGCAGAAAACTTTTTTAGGGACGCCTGTGAAACTCATTAAATTTTATTGCTAGGCGTTTTTATGCATGTTCAACTGACTTCGGAAAGACTGTACAATACAAATGAGTTAATTCCCGGTGGTATTACATAACCGCGAAGAAACTATAAAAACGTAGATAATTCGGCGAGGAACACATAACCAACCATGAAGTGGTTAGTAGCACTTACTTTGCTAGCTGCTGCTGGCACTAGCCAAGCAGAGCAAGAAGTCTCCATCGCCAATGCATTGTCAAGGCCGGTGGGAGTAGTTTATCTGCTGGACATCATTTCTCCACCAAGGCAGAAGCCAGAAGCGTTCAATTATGAATCTTCTAACTTCGTCAGTGGTGGTCCAAACTACGGAAATAAGCATTCGTACTTACTGGTTCGCCCTATTCCTGCAGAGGCCCGAGGGGTACCTGTTCCCGTTCAACAGGCAGAGGTAAGAGTTAAAATATTTTTTTCTAATAAAGAATGTTCTCGACATTCTTAATCTTATCAGTGATACTGGCCAATCGTGGAAATTTAAAGGAAGCACAATTTTATTGGCTTTTTGTTACCATGTATGTAATGTATACTTCGAGACAACTAATAAAAGTTATTTATTGATGATAATATAAAATTTTTGTAGAATACTACATAAATAACCACACAGATATATCAACTGTTAAAGTTGTTATTTTTGCCTGTATGTATCAATACTTATGTGTGATTATTTATTTAGTTTTGTTCACTTAGGTATCTTATGAAGATACTTAGAATACAGAGATATTACCGAAGACTTACTGAAACCCATCAACTTTTAATTGCTCTGAAGATGGCACAATGTATCCTGTGACGAAACGTCTACAACTAAAACTTTAATTATTGTTGCAAAATGAATGTAATACTCGGCAGGTATTTCTAAATTTCACCAGAGCATGATTTCGTTGAGTATTTTTTTATCTAATTATAGTATTCATATAGTTATTTTAAGTATTAGCACTTTATTTTTTTAGTCCGTTTGATTCCTCTCTACTTTTATATTTAAAGCTGTAGATGAAAATGAGTTTCTATAAATATTAGATGATTTGAATCTAAAATACAAATATAAAAAAGTATATGCAATCATAATTTCTTTAAAAACTCAGAATTATTTTTTTAAATTGTGTATGGCAACACTAGAACATTAAATAAATTAAACCCCGAATTTTATAAATTGAATTTCTCCTTAAAAAAATAGTCGGTCCAGTCTTCTTTTATGCATAGCCTGTAGCAAGTCGTAGCAGCTTTAAAATAATTTTTCTCTAAAATATTGTTTTCTTGATTCTGTAGAACTTTTATATAAACTTTTTTTCTGTATTATGAATACAAGGGAGTTATTTTATTTTCTCACATTAATGGTCCACCCTGTATGTTAAAACAAGTAAAATATGTTTACGCAGTTTTCTTATTAGTTTTAATTAATGCCATTATATTGTATTACATACAATATATTAAGTCGAGAAATGGAATTTTTAATAGACCACTTTCAATTCTTAGCATTATTAGTAATTGCTTGAACTATTAAGAATTAAAAACTATATAAGTAGTTTTACATAAAAGGTTCTTATGGAAAAGAATTAACAAGATTTGATTTAATTTTGCTTTAAAATGTTAATATTCTCTGCAATCGTCTAAAACTGGTTATTTCAAAAATTAACATACTATTGATATTTACTTTCAACATACATATTTCTTTTTCTGTATTTTTCGTTTTTCAACATTCTTGTGTGACTTATAGAAATAATAAATATGGGTTTATTATAGGATGACAAAGAGACCCCTTCCAAATACTTAGTTCGCCAAAGACGAGAAGCATATCCAGTTGAATCTCACGTTTATGGAAATCTTCAAGGCAGTGGACTGGGATAATTTTGTCGGTAATAGTATTTATTGTTTATAAAAGGAATTTAAATATTAAATAACATTTAATATACCTATACATTTTCATATAAATTCAGAAAAATAATATTCGAATAAAGAATGTTTATGGTTATTTGAGAGTACCTACTTTATAATCTTTAATAACTTCTATTTTGTCATTAAAAAATTTACATGAACAAATTTTACTTATTTCAAGATAAGAAGAAAAATAGAATATTTTCCATCAAGCTGCAAGAATATTTACAGAACATTTTTTATAAAACAAGATTGTCGCTATAAAGAACAAATTAGCTCTCTAACTTATTTTGTTATGGCTGTGACGGGTGTCATGTAATAACAATCGTATAAACCTTTACAGAGAAATTAAAAAATATATTAAACTATATTTATAAAATAATTTCATAGCAAATATTACTGGAGCTTTTACAAAACATTTTTATAAGCATTGTGTTAATATATCCATTGTCACAATAGTAAATATAAGTTATTTATTTTTTAATTGTGTTTGTATGCAATGATTATTCTCAAAATAGTTTTTTAAATAGAACAAATGTGTATCCTACAAGACGTGATAAAAAATATGATGGCGTAACTAACAATCTGTTGTTAGTGCAATAACATAAAAGCCAACAGATTAAGACTTCTACGTATCAATGCCAAAGCGATTTTAGGTTGGAAAGAAAACAAGTTAAATGTTATAGCGTATTACCCAATATCGAGTACACCTACACCTAATTCAAGTTACCGACAGGGAGTAGTAATAAATAAATACATATAACAGATGACAAAACAGGAACAAAAGTCGTGCTAAAAGATTCAGAAAAGGATTAAGATTAGGGGAGAGAAAGGCCGAACAAGATAAGAAATTAGTTAAAAAAATTAGTGTTAAACAGTGATAGAAAGGTATATATCCCTTAATAATACAAACTTGTATTAAATTTAATATTTAAATCCAATATATTGGATACTGTTATTTAATTAAGTTATAGAATAGGAAGTGGCTTAGGTATAGTTTAAGAAAATTTCTATTGATCAAAGATTGGAATATTTTGGGAAAATAGAAAAATAAATTAAATGTTAGCCAATCACATTATTTTTATTTAATTTGAAATATAGTGAATCCAAGTCATTAAATGAATTAGAAATTTTTTTTCAAGAGATAGAATAACGTCTGTTAAAATTCAAATATAAATTTTTTTGTCTTTGCCGTCTCAAAATTGAGTATCTAAAGTCATTAATCAGTAGAATATTTTAAAATCAATATAATAATCTTCTCAGAACCTTACCCTGAGGTAAGACTCATACTAGACTCATGTAGTACTCACGTTAGATTAAAATTTGCTTATGTCTTAAATTGATTTGTTTTTTTTCTCAGGCTTTTTCAAGGCTTTCTCTATGAACATAAAATTTGAATTAAATTACAACTGTATGCTCATATGAGCTGGCGCCCAGACAATAAAGAAGAAAAATAAGATACAAAGAAGAAGAAGCGAAGCAGAATAAGTAAATAAAGGTAAGAAAATTACCATCTCACAAGAATTTATAACAATATATATATAGCAATTGTTTTAACAGAATTATTCGTTTTCATAACGAATCTGTTCCATTTTCAACGTTTTGACAAATAGTTTCTAATAACATGGTTCCATTAGATACAGAAAATTGTCTTTTCTTAGGGTTTAATTTCTCCAAAATATCTCCAAACTTTAGTAATTTGAAAATGCAATTTGGATGGAGAAAAGTATTTAGTAAATATTTTAGCATTATGAAGTTAGACAGCACAGTTATACAAATAAATGGACAAATTTGCGACTTTTCTAACTTTTTCAAATTTAACTTCGTTATTAACATAAATACTGTATTAAGGTAAGTACAATACCGTTTTTCATTAACAAATTTAAAGTGATTGTTTGAAAATAAATGATTATGTATTTAAATTTACTTAAATACAATTACAGAAACTTAATAAAAATATCCGCTCACCCAAATTTTGTTTCAAAATACTAAACTTGTACCAAACAAAGCGAACAAATAAAAAATCGTGAACCAGTCAATCGGACGGACCCAAGCTGATTAGAATTTTTTTATTCACTATTGGGTGAATATTTTTAAAAGCCTGTACAAAGGAACTGTGCCAAATTTAATAACGCACTTATTTTTGTTTTCATATAAATAAATAAATGGTTTACTATGCATTTAAAAGAAAGGAAGAAAATTCGCATACCTACATAGGTACTAATAAATGCTTAACATTTTTTTTTTTTTGGTATACATACAGTTGAGGTTAACTGAGGCTTATTTACATGCCTTTTATGATTCTAGATATACATATTTCGCAGATGAAATGCATATGGTAGCCTCTTTTATTTTTGTTATAGCTTAATCCAGTGGAGGAGATAAAAATCTCAGAATTTCAACTATAGTAAGTATTTTGGAAATTTGATTAGTAAATTAGTGATTTAATGGAAAAAATTGTCCTTCATTCCATTAGAAAATTAATAATTTTTATTGAACATTTTTTTAAATTTAAAATAAACTTACCATCCATTAGAATAAACAGGCAGTAAATGTAATACTACCTGTTTTACCTAAATAAAATACAAATGTCAACAAAAGATTGATTTTACATATATTTTATACAAATAATTTTTACTGAGAAGAGAATATATAAAATATTAATTGAACAATATTATTCAAGGCCAACGTCTGTATTATTTTGTAATTAAATAAATAATATTAAAAACCTCGTTTTATAATATTGTTTTGAATGAACTGTAATCAAAATAATATTTCATAATGCGGAATTCCTGTAAAATTAGGATTATTTTTAATTTTAACTGGTCAATTGCAATATAATAATGAACCAATTAAAAATGTCTTAAATATGATATTTTATCAGATACAATTAATTGTTTTACATAGAGACATTGTATTTTAATTGAAGATATTATGTTCTTATCAACTTATTAAGTTTTATTGCGCCCATTATTTTTGTACCTCCTTCTGAGAAGACCGAAATGCCCGGGGAATCGATATTGGGCTAGGTGAAGTCATTACTCTCTTCTTGTCCCAAACTTGTTTGAAAAAATTCATTGGTATAAAGGAAAAATAAACTGATTGTTAAAAAAGTAAAGTAATAACTACTGTGATTGCGCTTATATATACATATATAAAACTACGTCAAAAAAATTAAGTACTTTGATCATTATCAGTGCCTGATTTACAGTGGTGGGGGCCTGTAGGCTGAAAATTGGTGGGGGCCTATTCAAATTTTAAGAATAAAAAATTATATTTTTCAGAATATTTTTTCTTTCTTGTTCATGATGGGGAGGCCTTTAAAAAAATTCTTTAAAAAAAATTAGTTTTCATAAAAAAATTTGGAGGCGGTGATGGTAGAGGACTTGCTGAAACAGGATGCCAATCTTCTTCTTCCTCCTCCAGTAGCAGTTTCAGCTCTGGACGTGGTGCAGGAGAAGGCGGAGGTGGAGGTGGCGGTGAAGGGGGAGGCGGAGGTCATGGAGGTGGTGGATCCTAAGAGTTGTAAGTATTTGAACAGATGGATGAGAAACTCTTCCCTTTCTAATCTTTTTGCCAAGATTTTAGAATGTAACTTATTTTGATTTCGCAATTGATGTACTCAAACTCTTCCATAAATATCAACAAAATGATTTTGTAAATTACATTTACTTAATTTATAATACAATGTAGGAAAAATATATAATCCAGGTAATTAAAGATCTGAATCTAATGCAAAAGTATCAGACCATATTAAAATACGTATGTATTATTATATTTTTAATTAATTATTTATTTTTGTTATGTTGTTTTTTGAATGTTTATATGAGACTCTTTAATTTTTTGGTGTGGGTTCAGATGTTATATTGAATATATTTTTTTTATATAATAGATGATTTGTTATTATATTGTTGTTTTGTTGAACGCCTTTATATTTGAATGTTGAATTATTGAAGTATTATATTGATTAAAATTTCTTAAATAAATAAAAGATGTATTGTTTTAACAAATTTCTATATATTCATATGATTTGCAGATTATGGTTTGACATATAACAGTGACTGTTGTAATTTCTTATCCTAAGTCATACAATGATAAATTCCCCCTTTTATTGGATATTTTTCAAATGAACATTTTTATCTTTGAAATTTATATAGCGCTTTTGTTTGTAAAAATTGCAAATTTGCTTTGTATGTGTCGACACTTACATAACAATTATCTCCTTCGTCTTGTAGTAACTGCGCTACATTCCATAGAAGGTTGTCGCGATGTCCCTCGTTGAATTATGCCTCGTCACGGGAACTGCCGAAGTCTCCCTCGTACCGACACAGAAACTTTTCCCAGTGGAAACACACTGCACTTATTTTTCAATTTCACTTGTCGCACAATTTTGATTAGAAGTTTTCCAAATATATATCCAAGATCAATTTGTTGTGGTTGTTTCAGTTATTTGTTGTGACTGCTTCAAATAATTTCGGACAATTGTAGTTTCGATAAATGTACCATTCGGTTTTTTTGACAGTCCGATACACTTTGACGTTTTTTCCCCCAGGTGGCTATGTGAGTACATGAACAATTACTAACTTTGTTGAAATAAACAATTTTCACTTGTTTTTTAGAAGCAAAACTTTCGATGTGGCAACTTTAGGTGAAAATGTCAGACTGGCTTAATAAATCCCGGATAATGGTTTTATAGGAAGTGTAAAACAATTGACTGTTTCTATGACAACAAATAAATTGTAATTTTGGAATTTTATTTTTACATATACTAACTTTTAACTAAATTTGGGATACATGAACTGTTCATATTTAGATTTTATGCATTTCCTGCGTCTTTTGACACTACATACACCTTTCTAGGTTAAGTTGAATGTCATGTTGAAATGTTGCACGTTTTACCAAAATTCACTATTATTTCAGTGCATGGACTAAACTTCAGCATGTCTATACAACACCTTTTACACAGTCCTTATGCATTTTTTTAGGTACAAACGAGCAAAAGCTTTTAACACCCCGTTCCGACAAACATTTGTGCAGTCTAAACAACAAATTGACCTTTGATTGGATTTTATACACATTAAATGGAATGACGAGGGTCTCTTACATACTATTACATACTATACATATGATTTTGTAGTCCAGAAAAAATTTTACACAAATAAATTTTCAAGATTCTGACGGAACAATAACTGTCAATGATAATATGTTACATAAATGATTTCAATGACGTATATGTTTGATTCCACATATAAATTCTACATTCAGGTACACTAAATTTCATTTATCTTATAGTTCTATTGCATGATTCGAACATACATGTGA